ACTCTTTCACATTAAAATTTATCGTAATAACATTTGATAATGAGCAGTATCTTACATTCGTCTATTATTTTAATTTTAACATCAGGTCATTGAAGTATTTTTTATCATTGACGTCATTGCACACACACACTCACATTGCTTTTTTTGGAGTACAGGTCAGAATCACTTGACGGAAAATTTTGTAACTTTTCATTCGTTTCTCTTTTTCTCCTTATAAAAATTTAATTTTGCGTAGTTTGCTAATGCAGATGTACTTAGCGAGTATTTTGATGTGGCCGTGTGCAAGATCATATGCAAAATTAGACAAACTGTGTGCTTGTGATGCAAAGCGATACATACTGGCGTTCACATTTGTCAATGCAAAACTCTCCCTTGAGATGGGTGTCACTATGACGCTGTCATCGGCTAATGGCATGTACTTCTCTTCCTCGATGTACGACTAAAGGGACAGTTGATGATTACGGTCAAAGACAGAGTTTCTGTTGGCTGATCGAGTTCAGAAAGTACTGGCAATGGCATTAGTGTGGTACTGCTTGATGATACTAGAATGGGTCGAGTGCCAATTGATAAATAGGCTGTGTAGTGAAAAACACAAGAAAAACACTGTTGCAATTACTGCGTTTTTCATCGTTTTTATCTTTAAAACCATTAAACTCGTACTAAAAATACAAAGATACAATGAAACCAGTAAAGACAAACATTACTACACTGAGTTAGTCGATTTAAACGAGTATATTGATTTATTTGCTGATAGTATAAATGATTTTAAATGTGTTTTTACACTGAGGTTTTTCTAGATTGAGTGAACCACTGAAAAAAACCACGGGCCAGCGCTAGAAAATGACCATTTTTGGTTAACTCAAACGGTCAGCTCTTATAAACAATGACACGTTGACTGGTGCGTTGACTGTAGTTATTTGAGATGTTTGGAGGATTAAGTGATATCGTGGTTAGGTTAGGTGCAGTGATTGAATGCAAAGTCGTAATTTTCAATGGTAGTCACAAGGCTGGCATGAAACAAAAACAGTGAGTTTCTGTTGGCCAACAAAGTAAAGTTTTCGTGTTTCTAATGTAGTTGTATTTTAATTCCGCCATACTTGTCTACTACTTCTTCAGCTATACAAAATCAGCAATCAGTCTTATCTGATTAGTTTTGTAATGACAGAACAGCAACAAAAACAACCGTAGTAATAGCAAGCTCATGGTCAACTTATTATTCGAAAACGTGTTTGAGTTTACACAAGAGTTTTTTATTTGATGAACGTTATTCTACAGACAAACAAAAAAAAGTAAAGTATCGAGTGCATTAGCAAATGAGTTATGCGAATAAAAGTTAAACATAAAAATGTTTTAATTTTTGGTTGTCACAATTGGACACGCCCAAACGGGCAAAGTAGATGTACAGGGCACGCTTTGTGTCTTGCAACTGTGTTTACTACTGATGTGCACGGTGCTGGCCGCGGAGTTCATTCTGTGTTAAAAAATCCGAACTTCAGTTTTAAAACGCTGCAGTTTTTGTCAAAACGTACCACTTTGTTCTTGAGCAGTGCAATGCAGCTGTCAACGGTCTTGTTGCAGGGCACTATTTTTGGATTGGTCAAATTCATCAGCAAAGTTCGAAGCAGATGATAGTTGGTGCAACGCTCAGTTAGGGTTCGCAGCACGACGTTTCCTTCGCGGTCAAGTACCATTGAACGAGTAGCTTGACTATAAACGTAGCTAAAATAGAATTTGTCAGTTCTGCTAAAATGGTTGAAAGAAAACGAAGTTTACCCATCACAGAGTTGATAAGCAAACGCATCAATGTCTTCGGTTTGACCCCTAGACAATGCCGTCTGCACAAGTTGACTGGAAAATGTAGAAACGGATTATGTAAAACAGAAAATCGAATAAAAGATCAATTCACATCATACCAAGGAGCGCGCTGTGTGTATGGCGGAGTGTTAGTTTGGCCGCGCAACAAAAACATGCGATTGTTAAGAATCTGACGAATCTCCGCAGTGAACACATTTGGAGCGTTCCAAATGAGACAAGTCAAAACGGGGTGCCCAATCGTACTCTCCTTGAGAGGGTTGTAGCAGCGTTTGCCTTCCATCAACAGGGCACTGTTCTCTGGAACTAACTGGTTTTGGGAAGCGATGCGAATGAGTGATCGAACAGGAAACGTCTTGTGAGCATCGGTTGCATAGTAGATGAACTGCAAAAGTAAATTCAAAATGTTAGCAAATGATAAAACTGAAAAAACGAGTAAACTGTTTTCTCACGGTGTCTTGGTGCGAGACAATGGCAATCAGCGATTGTCGGATCGGTGAATCCACTGCAGCAATAGCTTGCATGATGTATGAGGCAAATCGCCCTTCGAGCATTTCGTTCTCGACGTTCCCATGTGGGAACAAAGAGGTGATGATTTGCTGCTTTAGGTGAACGCTTGTCGGCGCCGTAGTGAAAAGACGGCGAATGACAGTCGAAGCTGCTTCACTTTGTTGAATAGCCAAGCGTTTGCTTCGAATTACTCCGAGGAAAGCAGTTACGAATTGCTGGTTCGTTGTTTTGCGTGCAAGGGTGACGAGTGAAGCGCTTGCTCGAGGGTGGAACAACATCTGCTCCACTGAAGGAATCAGGATCTGGCAAGTACTGTTGATCTCAGTGATTGGTGCAGCAAGCAGAAGATGTGCCAAAAACTGTCGATCTCCCAGACTAGCGAAAAAGACAAATCGACCTTCAAGAAAGTCAAGTGAAGCGATGGTTTGCTCTTGCTGGAGAATGGCTTGTGCAACTGGTGCCATTCGCTCTCTTGCTTCGTATTCGATCAGCTGCAGGCCACTGCGATCACGGTGGAAAGCTCGTCCCAGATCGTCAAAGCGGTTGCTGAGCAATGGACCAAACACTCGTTCATAGATTTGCAGTCGAGTAGGGTGATTTTCTAGAAGTGCAGTGGTCTTAGAGACAAAGCGAAATTGCTGGTCGTCATCGTGTCGATGCACTTCTGCTTTGTGCTGTTCAGCGGTGTCGCCAAACGGCAGCCAGACGTCACATTTCGAGCAGTAAAACTCTGGAATGGCGTAGTGCGCAATGATGTGCTGCATATCGGCTTCAGCGGTTGTCTGAAGTGGCTGAGCCACAACGCGCCCTTTGCTGGCACAAAGCTTGCAGACAGCTGCAAACTCGCTCGGGTCGACAACAGAGTCAAACATGTAGAAGCTGCATGCAAAGGCGAGAGCTAGCTGTGCAATGATAGGGTGAGTCCCCATAGCGTGGTTGGCAAGGCCACCTTCAAGACTTGTCAAGTGCACAAAAAAGGTATAAAACGAGTGGAATGATTCAGCGTTGCAGTCCACTACGGGGCATTTGCATTCCGGTTCCACCCGTCGTGCAGTCTGTCGGACATCTCTTGGTGTGCCCTGATTGCCGTCATCTCGCGGGCGACGACGACCCCCACCACGAGGGGTCCTGTTTGCGCCAGCCGGCTGGTTACTGTAAAACCAAATGGTGAGAGAGCAGTGACCAGCATTCAATAGCGGCAATGTCTTACCGGCTCATGATTTGTGTCAATGGGTGAGTTGACCAGGTGCAGAAACTTGTAGATGCAAAAAGAGTAGCTGAAAAAATTTCAAATATTAGAATACAAAATCTTCAAACTTTTTCTTTTCTAAAGTATACCTGGACTACATTGCGAGTGACGCGGTTTTATAGCTAGCAGTGACAATTGCGAAACTGCTGACGACATTTAGAACTATCAACAGTTAAACTAACTTATTCGAACACAATTTTAACAGGCTAATTTTTTAATATTGCTGATTTTGCAGAGAGTTTACGAGTGATTGTTCTAAATTTCCTCAGACTGAATGTGCCATGTTGAAACTTTTCATTGTAAAACTTTTGGGGTTCTTAAGGCACTGGACTAATTGAGTATTTTGACAGTACTGGCGTAGAGCATCGGAGGTAAACGTGTACTGTTCCAAAGCGTTTTACAACGGCTGTTGTTGATTTGTTTTTGATTTTAGATTATTTTAGGTTAGTTGAGGGTAGGGTCGG